GAATGTTGCTTTTGATAGACAAACTGATGATCCTTCCTTGCTGTCATCCCAAGGCCCTGTTTCTCGGGAGAGTCTCTTTGCTCTCCTTCCTGTCAGCCAACCTCATAAATTTCAACTCCAAAAGTAACATTTTTGGGGAAAAAATGCAAAATCAAACATTTAACAGTGGCCCAGAAAGAAGTGTCCTTGTTGTATACTTTATCATGATTTTAGACAATTGCCACTGATCTGGGTTAGAAATCTGTTATTTTAGTCCCTTTAAATAAAAGTCAGGTCTGCAGTCTGCCTAATTTTATTTCACATTTACTAGTAAGTCATTATTTCAGACTATTCATGGGGACATTTGAGATGATGTCTTTGTGTCTGGTCATTCTGTATAGATTCTGACTCTGCTGCTGTTTTTCTCAAAGTCATCTGAGGAGGGGAAGGGAACAAGTAACATAATTAGGAAGAGTACAAACTAGTTCAACTTTATTCTGTTTAGACTTCTAAAAAAAGAGTTCTGCATATGAAAATGAATTAGTGTCACTGCTTCTGGGACAACTAAAAAATCTAATTAAATCAAAGGAATCCTACTCGACTTTGCTGAATACTTTATGAACAGATGGGGTACATGAGACATGAGGCAAGGTCTTGGGGGAAGCAGACTCTGGTGGTTTCTCAGAGGCCACAACCAGCTGATGCTTGCTTCAGAATGTCAAGCACAAATTTAAGGATGTTGTAAAATGTCTGCCTTCTAAAAAAAGGAGCATCACTCCTTCAACAGTGAAAAGTTAACAAAGTTATCCTGTTCAGATGGGAGTAAATGGATGAGGCAGTCAGGCGGAAATCAGTAACTTAACACTTCCTGCACTGATCAGAATGATCTTCCTCACCAAGCAGAGTTACATGGCCACAGGGATAGGCTGGCACAGGTTTGAACTCAGGTACAGAATCAGCCAAGGTTATGACTGGGTGTGAAAAATGGCTTATACTTTCCTGATGCAGGAAGTCAAGTCAGTCTCTTGCCAATCAGTCAGCACTGTTTTGCTGTATGGGGCTTACTTCTTTCTTTTTTTTTTTTAATTCCATCTGTCTTTCTGCCTAAATGAACATGCATCCGCTGTCTTTGGCTCATTTCTTGCTCCTGCTCCCAGAAATTGCTCCACTTTATTTTGGACCCTGAATACAAGTTCTTTGAACTTATTTGAGGCTTGAACACTAGACAGTATTATTTCTTCATTTGCTGAAGCGGAAAGAAAACTTAATTTTTGTTATACTAAACTACCTCAGCAATGTGTTTGTTGGAATGCAGTTCCGCCTTCCTGCTAATTACTGCTGTGGCTTCCTGCCAGCCATCATTTTGAGAAATTAAATACCAGCTTCCAGAGGAGCAGCAATGTTAAAGACAACAGAACATCATTCTAAATAAAATGGATGGTGGCATTAAAAAACAAACATTTTCCTGATGGAACAGCTGCCTACAAGTCCTAGCTAAGCAACTCCCAAACAAGGTAGGGTTTTGACAAAACAGGAGTTTGTCAATATCCCGATACCAGCACACTTTTCATCATGTCAGGGCTCACTGGGTGGAGAACTGCAGTGATATCCTGCATTATTTGTAGGCTTCTGAGAGTGGGACAAGCTACATAGCCAGGAGGAGGTGTCTGGTACAGAGCCAGAAGTAGAGGATAAAGCAAGGCAGAAAACTCAGTGATATGAAATCCTAGAATAATTCAGGCTGTAAGTGATCTCAGGAGGTCATCTGCTCCAACCTCCTGCTCAAATCAATAACTGGTTCAGACCACACTACTCAGGGATTTGTCCAGTCAGCTTCTGAATATCTCCAAGGACAGAGACACCACAACCCCTTTGGGCAATCTATGCCAGGGCTTGACTGCCCTCACAAAGAAAAGGCTTCTCCTTACCTCAAGTCCACATCTGCTCTGCTCTAGTCGATTACCATAGTCTCTTGTTCTGCTGCTGTGCAACTCTGTAAGGAGCCTGACTGAATCTTCTCAGGTACACCTTATATGGGAAGGCTGCTCTTAGGTCCTCCCAAAGTCTTCTCCAACCTTAACATGCCCCAGTCCCTCAGCCTCTCCTCACAGGGAAATATTCCTTCCCTGATGAACTTTTAGTGAGGCAGGAGCGAAACTATGTGTACTTAAACCATACATGGTTTAAGGAGTACAGCCTAGTATGCTTGGTAAGTAATGCTCAGCTTGTTGCTGGCAATACACAAAACAGGATAAAGATGGTCACAAGAGACTTCCGTCTGAACAGCTCACCCTGACAGGTGTGGAAAAGATGAGAACTATCAACTGATCCAGCGGGACTCTGTATTCTAAGAGCCTCCATCTTTTGGCATGGTGACAGATTTCCAGTTCGGCTGTGAGACGTGTAGAGCAGAGCATGTGGTACTCCAAATCAGGCATCAAAAATCAGCTATTTTATTCTGAAAAGGGCTGGCCTGGCACTGAGTCTGGTTTCCAGATGGTTTTCTGTTGTGTGTTTCTGTCACTTAGAAGAATGAAGCAAAATCAAAAGGGAAAGCCCTTCCCCAAAGAGAAGCAAGAAATCAGGGAAACAGAAGTAAACATGGAAAGAATAAGGCACTAATTCATAATTTAAGTCACTTCCTCTGTCACAGTTTTCTCAAGTAAGGAACCAGCTGTGGAACCTCACTTTTATGCCAAACAACTCTGTGTTTGACTCTCCTGCATGTAGTAGTTTTGGCTGGCATTTTCCAGTCTTATTTATACAGTTAGAAAAAAAGCAGCAAATTAATGTGGTTATTACTTATTAACAAACATGGTTTTTGAAAGGACAGATGCTCCTGGCTCATCACCCTATCAAGTCAGTCTCCATATCAGTCTGACTTCTTTTATTCTTTATCTGCTTTTGATATGTAATTTTTCAAACTGCTCAATGCCTCTATTAGGGTCTGTTCTAGTTGTTTCTGTATTTGGAAATGTTCCTTATAGCTCCTTGATATCACATTCATTCATGAATATCATTAAAAGTCAATTGGAAAATCCAGTTTAAGAATTTGACTGCTGGAGTAACTCTGGCTTCTGAAAAACTCTCAGCACAGTCAAAGGGCACATATTTAATACAGTGGGGACATGACAAAGTTGACTTAAAGGACTGCTAACTGGACTCATCTTTAACTATCTGCCTATGTTCCATTTATTTATTGTATTAGAGCCCTCTAGCAAAAGACAAGTAAAATACAACAGGGAATAATGTCAAATCAATAAACTGAAGTGCAATATACCATATACCAAATCAATAAACTGAAGTGCAATACCATCAAATGCCACTCTAACTCCAAGTTCTAGCACTATAAACAATTGTACTGCATAGCTCCAGCATATAGGAATACTCAATCAGGTGTCTAATTTTCATAGCTGGATGCTTAAAAACTCAAGCACTCTGTACAACTGGGCCATAATTACTTATTTAATCTTATTTTCTAATTTCACCTTTCAAAATAGCAGTTGCAGCCTTAAGAAAGACCACTAGGACACAACAGGTCCCAATTCAAGTTTCTAATCTGAACTTAAGAGTGCTGAGTACTGTTGACTTCTACAGATAGTGGGGAGAGCTGAAGTTATTTAGCAACTTGAAGGATCCAGCCCTATTAAAATGTCAGGAAGACTTCATCAGATGGGTTTCTGTCATAAGGGAAATTTTCTTTTCTAACAGTAGACCTTTCCCTGAGATCCAGTCTCCTGCCTGACACAGTCTGATACACTGACACACGTTCTTGTAGGTCTGTTGTTCTGCCGTGGCCTTGAGCCCAGGCCCTCTGAGGAGATCAATAGTGAAAAGACATAGCAAGTCATCAAAACCAGGATTCCCATTGCTGATCATACCATCCTGCCTAAGGGCAACCATGGAAGGCTGAGCATGGAGTTCCTTGCTGTTCCTGAGCAGCAGTAGCTGGGGTAGAGGAATTGGGCCAGGAAAGCATGATACCCTCTAACTCACTGCTCCTTCAGCCCTTGCCTCTTGACGTTGAACCCATGTTATACTTTCCCCACTTCTTACAACTTTTCTCTTTTCCTTACTGATGCAGAATCCAAGCTAATAAGATTTAGGATGTTACCACATTTTATGTCAACTACAACTTACTTGGCTTGAAGCAGAAACACAGGAGATCAGGCTGTGGTAGCCAAAAGGTCAAACTACCTTAGTACAGACATAAGCAGTGTAAGGACAGAGGGGCCAATTAACCTGTGCACCTAGCCATGCAGACTTTAACATTATTGGCAGCTAGACTGTAAAAAGGCAAATGTGTGCTTGCAGCATTAAGACCCATGAAATACAAAGAGTGAGGAAGCAGCATTTTGAAGGGTAATTTAAATTCTAACCACTGGTCAGAGATTTGCTGAAAGCAGAGAAAGCATTTTGGGCTCACCACTGTCCAGCAGATGCCAGTAGAGCAGTAAAACACCTTATTTAACATGCCCTAGCATGAAGGTAGACACAAGTAGAGTCACATGGGCATCAGCAGAGCACCAGTCAGGTGTATCTGCTAGCGTGCAACACAGAAAGAGCCATAGATTCAAAAGGAGAATGGTGGGGAGAGAAGGTGGTTGAAAGGGCTTAAGTCTTTCCTCCTCTACTGTAGAGCTAATCCTATCTATTTGTCAGACAGAAAAGGCGAGAGGAGAGAAATCTCCCCCAAACATCAGTATCCAATTTTCAATGGCGTGCAGCCATAAATCAGCAAAATTCACACAGACAGACCTAGGTCTGAGTGAGGCTACATCTTATTTCCGTGCAGGTTATCACACTGCACATGGGATTTTTTAGGCACAATTATAGTCTCTGACATCCTATCTAAAAGAGTGGTCACCATAGTAACGCTCAAATCACATGGCACTGCACACCTGATACCAATCAATCTTGAAAACATCTTTTTAAAGAAAAACACTCCTAGAGAAGCTGTAGATGGAGGTTTCTGGTGAGATTGGGAAGATGCCCTCTTATAACAAACATGGAAATTTTACCTTATAATCTTTTCATCCAATTCTCCCTCCATACAACCCCAGTCTCTATCATCTTATAGAAGTGATAGAAAATAAAACAGGGCAATGGCTCTCTGCTGAAAAGTGACAACCAATGAAGTACAGCTGGCATGTAAATGATAGATTGCATTTTTCCCCAGATCATTAACTGTGACTTCTGAGAATACAGCCATGCACTGATTGCTGAACAAAACATAAACATGCCCACCATAGTGCCTCTTCACCTGCCCAGGGCACCAGATTTCCCTTCAAATGCTAAAACCCAGAAATTTCACCAATTTCTTTCTCCCTTTTTGCTTTCCCAGCCTGCAGTTCAATGTAGTTGATTAGAGTTGTGTTCTTCTCTCTGTGTGCGTAAAAGAAGCGGAGCATCTTAAATGAAATAATGTTTGCACTTAGCTTGGCACAGTGGCTTTCTGAAGTGCATTCTTCAGAAGCCAAAGAGCTTATGAAGTTAAGCTGCTGACATCACTGGGGTTTTGGGTGGGCTGCTTTATTTTTACAGCTCAGCTCCACACCAGCAGCCTTTGGACTATCTGTGGTGTGCCTGCTCCTCAACCTGCTTCAACAGTCTGCTGCTTCTCATTATCCCAGCAAGGACACTGCTATGGGCTGTTGAAAATCATCCGTCCCAGCAAACCACTCACACAAAGTTCAACCAGCCTCAGCAGTATTTCCAAAATAGTTCCTATTTGGTTCTATCTGAAATTATTGCTACTTTCATTATTTCAAATCCTACCACTTCTCAACTGTCCTTTGAAAAAGACTGTTTCTGTTCAGATGGATTCCATCTTTGTCAACTTCCACTCTATCTACATTGTCTTTTTCAAATAATTCACAGCTATAATTATTTATTCTGACAGTGCCTGTCCTTTATTCAATGTGATTTTGAAACATGGGAGCCGCTGAATTTGTAAATGCCACCAACTGGCCTGGGAAGAATACAGGGATGTTGTCCAGGAAGCTAGGGACTAGGTTAGGAAAGCTAAGGACCAGTTAGAATTAAACTTGCTAGGGATGTTAAAGATAACAGGAAGGGATTCTACAGGTACACTGCAAATGACAGACTAGGGACAATGTAGGCCCCCTCCAGAAGCTGTCAGGAGAACTGGATATCTTGGATTTGGAGAAGGCTGAGGTTCTGAATGACTTCTTTGCCTCGGTCTTCACTGGCAAATGCTCTGACCGCACCCACTAAGTCTTGGAAGGCAGATACAAGAACTGTGAGAATGAAGACCCTAGGCCGACTGTAGGAGAGGATCTGGTTCGAGACCATCTTAAGAACCTGAACGTGCACAAGTCCATGTGTCCTGATGAAATCCATCCATGGGTCCTGAAGGAGCTGGCAAATGAAGTTGCTAAGCCACTGGCCATCATATTTGAAAAATCATGGCAGTAAGGTGAAGTTCCTGACTACTGGAAAGAGGGAAATATAACCCCCATTTTCAAGAAGGGGAGAATGGATGATCCAGGGAATTACAGACCAGTCAGTCTCACCTCTGTGCCTGGCAAAATCTTGGAGCAGATTCTCCTGGAAGGCATGCTAAGGCACATGAAAAACAACAAGGCACCCAGGAAAAAAATACATTAAGAGACAGAATTATAACATTACACTTGCCACTGGAAAATGGTGACTCACTTGTTTTCCACATCCTTTCACACACTAAAGGTCATCATTAAAAAAAAAAAAAAAACACCCAACAAAAAAACAGTGAGGGTCAGAAACTTCATGAATATTTTCAGGACCTTCTCTAGCAGGTCTTCATGTGCCATTGCTGACAGTAAGGTCACAGATCTTTCGCCCTTACGCAGCTGACTCGCCAGTGCTGTAGAAGCTGTCAGGATTGCATGTTTCAAACTGTATGCTAAACTGATGCTTTCTGCTAAGTTTGCCTTCTTGTACTACTATCCTTATGTGTATGGACTTCAAATATCAAATACTGGACTGTGGAAATGGCACGTGCCTTTTAGGCTGAGGGGTTTTTTTAGTGCTGTCTTAGGAATACAATTTTTGTGTAGGCATATCTACACTCTTTTTTTATCCCTTGTAACTCTTTTTTATCCCTTGATGCTGTACAGTAGAAATAACTAACAAATAGCTTGCTAAAGAGTTATTTATATAAATGCAAATACAAACACACTAGATTTCCTAATATCTTTTCCTTTTGTATTTGTATAAAATAGTAATGAAATAAAATCAGCATTATAGAAATGTGATCCATCAAAAGTAAACAGAACAGCAGAATTAGCAAGTCAAACAAGTCAGAAAGTCTGCCTTTTCACATTCAGACTTCCATCCCTGGCACCTAGTCCAGTTTCAATTTCTGAGTCTCAGTTCTATTACCTAGAAGCATTTAACAGCTTTTTTTCCCCTCCTCTTTCTATGACTTTCAGAAGAGCAAAAAGCAAAGATAAAGCCCAGAACAGGGCTTGTCTTCACACCGTGACTGATGAGGCTGATGCTGTATTGAATTTAAACTTAAAAACGTCAAAACCAACATCCCTCTGAAGCAGTGAGGAAGGAGGGCACCAATTCAGCCCATTGCTGTAGGTAGCATAGCCTGAAGTTGCTTGAATAGGCTCAAAAACTTCTGAAAGCAGAGGCCTGTCTCCTAAGAGAGGATTTACGGTATTACATGATTCATTTACCTGGAATTTAGACTGCACAACCACTACTTTCTAGCTGTGAAATGTAAAAGGAATTGCTACCTGCTGCAGCTCAGCGCTCCTCTCCTCCAGTTGTACCAGGGAAGGATTTCAGACACATGTCCCTAGCAAGAGCCACCTCCCCCAGTGAATAGGAGAGGAGTCTCCCTGCCAACCTGCATACAAAGCTCCCTTTGAGACTCCAGCTAAGAGGCTTTACCCTCACCCGTGGTTGTTCCCCACCCATGAAGCACATAAATAGGAGCATTGTGCAGAAGCCTCTTGCTAGCTAGCCAGCGAAACAAGGGAGATGTCTGGCCCACCCTGGAGTGGGGGCACCCCTTCTTAGAGGGCCTGAGTCTTTCTTAATTGGTGCACACAATTTAGGAGTCCACCTCCTGACCCTATCCTGACTTCTGAGCTGAAATACCTATTCAGAGTAAAATGAAACTTCTGGGGAATGCAAATGTGATTTTTATCATGAGCTATTAAATGACAAATACTTTTGAGCATGGCCTTAAGGACCCTGACATCTGATTTATCCATCATAGAAAGATATGGTAAATACCACTGCACTCACCTGATGCTCACCTGCCACTGCTTTCCCAAGGTAGCCATGCCTTTCCTGACCATTTGCAAGATAAAAATGTAAAAGACAACTGGCATGTCAAGAAAAAAATGGCACCTTATAGCTACTCTTTTCACTCCTGTTCACATTCTTTTTCCAGTGAATGCATAACCACTCCTAACTTCTACTTATTTTGGAGGGAGGGGTGAAGGCACCTCCGAACACTTATCACCCAAGTGCATCTGCTCCTTGTCTATACCACAGCTGAAGAAAGGTAACCCAGAGGAGGCAGTTCTGTCCCATCACACCCAGGAGGTGTCCTATAGACACTGCTAAAGAAGGGCTTTATGTACATATATGGAGGCCCTCACAATTAGGCTCTTGATGTACTTACCATTGCCTGATTCTGCCTTCAGGTGAGTTTGCATCGTTGTTTGGAGCAGCTTCAAAAGTGTTCACCTCTACTGAAAGGCATTTTACGCCAAGAACTGAAATGCACAGGCTCAGTAGCTGGGTACAGCTGTATCTGCAGGAGAGGGACCAGAACCTCAGCCTGCAGAAAAATCATTCTCCTTAGGCTTCCTATCTATTCCCATGATTCCAATTACAGCATCTCTTTGGCCAGAAGAGACCAACTTGCTCTTTCTTCTGAAATACATAAACATGGCATCAGTTTGGACTATGCAGTGCTTTTATAGGACATCTTTAATGTGCACACAGAGCAGCTTTAGAGATTCCCCCACATTTTTTGTGAGAGGTTTAGGCATGGTCTTGCCAATGAAAAAATCCTTTATCACAATTCCTCCTGGGTCCAGTATAATTATATTGGCCTGGGTGACTGTTCCCCATTTCACTATACAGCCCTTGGAGGCTTTAAGCAAAACCAGGTGTCTACATTAAAGAAATAAAGATGTGAAGTTAATATGGATCGAATACTTTATCTGACTCATGCCTAAGCCAGGGAAAGCATTTCCAGCATCTTAGACACAGGACAGGGCTCAAAGAGGTGGATTTTATGCTGCTTGTGACTAGCAGCAAGGAATTCTGCCTTCTGTGAAGCATCTTTGAACCCTGAGAGGATGCACACTGACTTAATCCTCTTCATACAGACTATGCTGAAAATGAAGAATATTGGCGGGCAAGATTTCCACATTGTAAACTCATATTTGAGGAGTTTATCTTTCAAAAATTGATGGAGCTTATCCATATGCACATTTTTTCCATTCCCAGACACAGAGATATGTGGGTTCTACATCTGAGCAGATAAAGGAAGTCAGTTTAATTTCTGATCCCACGTTGTATACTATTAAGCTTCACAGCTTGTGTCATGAGCATTATCTGCAGTGAAATATGTAAGAAAAGACATTTCATGAGTTCTTTTATCAAGTTTTAATAAATGTAGCTGATCAGTAGGTTAATCTTATGCTTAAGCCATATTTACTTATAGTTGTAGCTCTTTCCTCCACCAGAAACTTGTGTAAGCAAGGGCATTCTATTACTTTCCAAAGAAATTTCACAGATGCCGAGAGAAGAAACTTTTCCATACCCAGAGTTACTAATACTTATTGATAAGCATTTCAAACTCAAAATCTGTTTTAAACATTCAGGAATGGTTACCCCAAAGAAGCTTGTTTTCATCAACAGAAAAATATTTTCTTGAAACCAAGTCATCAGTATTAATGAGGTCTAAATAAGCACCTTTGCCTTAACAGAGATGGCTGTAAGTACTCACTGAATTACTTACTGATTTGCAGAACTGGTGAATATCTATACTTCTCATGTGAGATCTCTAAGAACTTAAGTTAAATGACACATGTGAAAATCATCTACTGTAATTAGGATTTTGCTTTAAATGCAAAAGTTCAGATGTTTTGTTAACATGCATTTTCTTCAGACCTCAAAATACAACATTAAGGAGCTCTGCTGTCCTCACTACAGTGTTAAAGATCACCAGGACTGTTTCTGTTTCTTCCAGAGCTGTGACTAGTTCCCATTTCATTCTCTTATTTTTGGACACCTCAGTGTATAACTTCTGAAAGCAAAATAGTAGGTAGGTTATCTGAAGGACATTCACTACACATCACACCCTTTCTCAACTCAGTATTTCTTTGTGTGGCACATGAGCAAGACTTCTGCCTTCAAAACTGCTTACCCTGCAAAGCACTGGCAACATCCCTATGTACCTGAAGTGGACAAGAAAGCAATAGTTACATCTGGAGTACAGACAAGCAGAAAATTACACCAGCTTGCAGAGGGTGATGAGGAGGTAGCAGTGCCATTCAAAAGAACAATAAGATATGGCAGCAGTGAAGCTTGGCTTTGAGAAGACTATGGCTATCATTCTGGATGTCCTGCCCCTTGGCCAGGATCTCTGTCAGAAACCAACACTGCAAATTCCCACACCTCCACAGATGCATGGTTTGCTTTCCATTACACACAGTCTTACCATTTCAAATGTCTAAAGAACCAACAGGCAACAAATCTCAATTGTTTCCAAGACAGAACTTGCTTGATGTCATGCAGGTGACTTCAGGGAGCAACTTCTGGATGTCTGTGGAAAATCTATCCTGGATCTGAAAACTGGCTTCAACCTATAGAGATGATTGAGAGATCCAGGAGGTAATTAATGAAGTTGAGAAGGTCACTCAGAAAAAATGAAGAAAAAAATATCTATCAACAGCTACTAAACACAAAGATACTGCATCTGGCTCAGGTAACCTGTGAGCTGCTGGACACATGGAAAATATACAGGGGGAAGCACTTGCCTGTGTTCCTAGTGTCCCTCTTATTTTTGACCTTTCTCAGCAGCAAGGCACTACGCACTAGGCAGCCATTTGATCTGAACCAGTTCAGCTGTTCTTATGCTCTGGAGGAAAATATAAAACTAAAAATAAACTCCCCACAAATGAAATCTCCATTATGTCAGTTCAAAGCAAATGGAAAACTTCCCTCCCATACCAAAGAGCAGTTCAGTCACTTAGTCAACATTGACTTAAGAAAACCCATTCCTTTCTAGACACACAAGCACTGGAACAGTACAGCACACTAAGGTTTCTAATCCAATGTTTGCTGTGCAATGCTGTGGCAAGGCAGAACATCAAGTTTTTAATGAAGCACAAAAAAACGTTTTCAGTTTTGATTTCCACCCCCAGAAACTGGTGTGCGAGACCACCTCTAACAAGCCCCACAGCAATCTCCTGCAGAGGGGAATAAGTAGTCCTATGGCAAGAAGAAGTCAAAAGTACCTGCTGAATTTGGAGGGGTAGAAAGAAGAATCTAAAAGCAGAAAATTACAAGGGTATTTTGGATGAATAAGACATTACAGCTTTACGGTGAAAATGGGAAAGGATCCTATTAACCGTTAATTCAGTTTAGCTTTCTGATTTCAAAGAACCATTAGACAATGAAAAAGGACTGAAGATTGAAAGAGCTCAGTCAGAAAAGAACATTATCAATTTTGTCTTCCTGTTGAAACTGTGTAACTCCTCCACTTGTGCTGAACTCTGCTTGAATGGTAAAATGGGAAGTTTCACAGTATGTACAGAGATGAACACACAGGTTTTTCCATACTGATCGTCCGTGAAGCCCTGCAACTTCCTGCTGGTGGCTGCAGAGGCAGCCCTGTAGTGCTGCAGGTTGCCCTTCTGAAAGGGCAGCAATAGGAGCAATCAATCTCTGAAGCGGTGATCTTCTAAAGCAAGGTGATGCTGAGGAAATTTAAAAGTCAAATGCCCTGAAGAATCACCACCTGCTCTCCTGTTTACAGTGACATCCCTGACATTGGGCAGTCAGTACACATCTTACGTGAGGTATCTCCCGTGAATAAAGCCATCAGCATAGATGTGAGCTGAAATCAGCAGCTCCAAAACCAAACCCCTCTTTAAAACCTATGATTGGAAGGAAGAGGGTGTCAGAAGCTCAGATACACCCCAGCTGCAGATTGTAGTCACTTGCCAGCGTTCAGCTGAAGCAACCTCCTGGCACACCAGGGCTTGCCAAAGGTTGAATGGCATCTGGAGGTGAGGTGAAGGTAATCCCAGGGAAGACAATAAATCATATCTGATTCCCTAAAGAGGTGGAGAGGGACAGCAGAAGAGGAAGTGGGTTTTCCTCAATCTTTTTTCTCGCACTGTTCAGGCCAGATAGAGCTGAAGCCCCAGGCATTCCCTCAGGGCTAGGACTGGTCCTCTTTGCTCTTCCTGGAACCACAGAATCTCTGCAAGAGCACAAAAGGGAAAGCAGGAATCATTAAGCTCCAGCCCTAACCTCTGCATACTCTTATAGCTTCATCCATCAAATGGGATTTTTATAAGTCCTTTGCCATCCCCTGCAAGACTCCTTGGTGCTCTATCAGTAGGGAAATGCAATTTTACACACATGAAACCACAGTATTTATATTAAAAAAGAAAAACAAAAGAAAAACAACAACAAAAAGAAAAAGATGCATAACTTGATGTCAATGGCAGAAAGATGATAAGCCGGAAGCCTTGAAGATAATCCTGAAGAGAAGTGTTTGAAAACTACTGTCCTATGTCTGGATTCATAGCTGAATCCACCATTTTCCCCTCCTATATTTCATATCACTTTATCATTGCACTTTATCCTCCCTTCCCCACATCCAAACTGTCCTGCACAAGAACTGCTGTGTTTGTTAGCACAAGGGTCTCTGTCATGCAGGCTCTGTAATTGCATTTGCTAACATTTCTTTTAATCTAACAGGCTGTGACTGACCACATGTTATTCTACATCAGGTATCACTGAGAACAAACCTGAAATGAAACAACGGAAGTAAGCCTTGGCACACTGTGTATCCAGGGATATCACACTGATGATAACTGAAGGTCATCTCCTGGATTCAGTGTGCTGTGAAAACAAACCTATGGCAATCTGATGGTGTTCTTGCTCTCCTCTCTGCTATGTATACCACTTAAATGATGGCAGACTACTTATGCAGCTTTTAGCAGCCTGCAAGCAAACATAATTCTGATGTTAACTCACCAGGTATTATTCCTAGTTCATCTTTCTCCCAGGTATGCACAGCAGCAGCATTCCCTCTGTTCATTCTTGGAATGAAATCTTCCCTTTACCAATATAGAGGAAAAGAACCAATACACTGGCTTATTCTGAGCACAGTTCACATGTCAATGCACTACACAAGGATGTTTAGGCCACACATCAACCAACCATGCAGACTTACAGCAACAAGCAGGGAGGTCTACATATGTTTTATTTGCCCTTGTATGGAGGACATCACCAAAGAAAAAGAAGAGCCAGTGTACCACTGTGCTGCACAGATCCATCAGAGAGGCTAATGCAGCCAGGGGCAATTTATAAGAGATGTTCTGAATTATACCAGAAGACAAATTGACCTTCATTTATGCTCCAGCACAAGGCAGACAGGCACCAGTACAAGATTCTACCCTTCAAGTCCTAGGAGGACCATTCCTTAGACCTTGATGAGCTGTCCGTCTAAAGTGGCTAACACGACCCTTGGGACAGGAAACTGTTCCTGAAAAAGCTGCTAAAAAGTTCTCCTGAGGATGCACTATTTCCAAAGAAATGCATAAATCTCCAATGGAAATAGGGTAGGATACATCTCAGACAAATGAAGAGACACATGGCATAGGCCTCAAGATGTTGTGCATTCAGCCAATTTCCTTTCAGGAATTTAGTCAACATCTATAAAATATTCATGCGCATTCTCACTGAAGGATGTCCAAGCTCTACAGCAAGCCTCTCGTACAATGGTCTGAGTTTTCTCTCGCTATTTGTCCTTAGCAACCTTTTGCTTCTCCAAAGAATCCTTAGTGCATCATGAAGTAGAGGAGGCAGTGGCTATTTAGCAGTAGTATCATGTCTTTTTAAAGTCACAAAAGCTACCCTGTCACAAGTACCATTGGTCAGGAGTTTGTGCCTAAAGCTCAGGCTCTTCGTCTTAGGATTCATCAGTCAGCATCAGTCTTCTTGGGATGTATCAGAACAGGACAAAAATACCATGCTCTCAGTTTTTGTGGTTGCTGAGTTTCAAGTTAACATTTGATTCTTCAGAGATGTGTGGTTTGAACAGATGTGGGAGCTGACTGTCAAAATACTCTATGCATATACATGAAAACTGTATTTGTATGAAGAAAAAGAAAACAACATCTACAAATAAACTACTCTCCTGGAATTGTGACCTTCCAAATACAGAATTGGAGCCTGAAAAATAGGTACCTGATACCAAAAGCTGACACTGACAAAATAACTTAGGTAGAGAATGAGCTTCAAGTTCACACTAAGTCCTATACAAATGCAAGTGGCAATTTTATCTGAAACTGTAAAGGACTATTAAAAACAAAATCAAAGTCAGGATATACCAATAGCCTTTCTGAAATTTCATGCAGCAAGAAAATATGCTGAATCTATAGATCCAGGAAAAGTAGTCTTTAGTAGTGTGTGGTTTCAGGTTGCTTACTATGTGACCCAAAATAGTCCAATGGACATGGAGTAGTTCAGAGGCTGTAGATTAAAACTGAGTGAAAAAAACAGTGTCCCATCAGTGCGATGGCAGAACACTTACATTGTGCAGCACGTTTTACATACGTGCCAATAAATGTATCTGGGATCATATCATACCCTGTTTCACAAACAATTTCTATTATTGCCCACTTGGCACAACTGAATCCAGAGTGTGTCATTCATTTGCTTCATTAGAAGAGCATAAACTCCTCGGTCTTTCAAGACACTTCCCTGATGGCACATTTATTCTGCCTTTTGAAGGCTTCATCCCACAACTCAGAAAGTTGCATTTTCCCAATTTAGTGAGGACAAGCTGGAGATCCATGAGAAAACCTGCCCTTACCTCACAGTTCCCCAGCTGAAGAATGGCCTCCAGCCACAGGGGAACACTTCCAGTGCAGGACGCCCCATAACCAACTGGGAGGAGCCTCACCATCTAACTCTGGCATGGAGGGCTCTGTGGGGTGCGGCAACCTAGACCCTGGCACAGTCCTGACAACCAGATGTGGCTCATTGGCAGGCTGGAGAAAAGGCTGAACAACAGTGCAGTGACTGGGGCCACAGATAGCCACAAAACCACTATGCTGAGGTAGGGGCATGAGACTGAAGCCAGTGATGTGAATGCTCAATAGACATGATACAACAATAAGCAAATAACTGCAAATCTCTCTCCCCTTCCCCATGTCCCACACTTTTAGATCTGGAGAAGGAGGTACTTGCTATGCTGCTGGGATGTACTACACATCAACATCTGGGCTCTGTTGAAGCTCCTTCTGAATTAACTGGATAGCAGCCCTCACTACTCCTAGAGAAACAGACACAAATAAAAAATGGGGGTTTTGTGGTAAAAATGCCTTTTCAAAATCAAGTTGTGAAAGACAAAGAAGGTTCACATGAATTTCTGAATTAGAAGTAATGAATTTGTGGTGTAATAAAAAAAGGTCTTTTGGTCTGTTTGGGTTTTTGTTTGGTTAGTGGTTTAGGTTTTTCTTAATCTCAACCATCCTTCAGTTTAAAGCTCTATGCAATTCCTACATTATCTGTGTAGTGATTTGAATCACTGCTGATTCAAAGCAAGGATTGCTAACAAATC